AGGTCTTACTGGGAGAACGTAGAACCAACTAGTGGTCGTCCTTATGCTGGAGCAATGAGAAAGACAGTGGACATCTTTAATAGGTCATCAGGACAGCAAGACATGAAGCAACAAGTAGAAATGGCGTCAGAGAAAGAAGTCCAAGAGCTGAAGGATCGGGTTGAGAAAAGTACGACTCATGTTGGAATGTAAATGGGGTCGATATGAGAGTGAATAACTTGTTGCTACATGATCCCTTGCTTAATTCCCAAGAAATACTCCAGTTTCGAGTAGTTTTAGTGTAGGATATTCATGTGCCCCAAGTGGACAGTGTGTCGGAAATAAGGTTTTCTAAACCAGTTCATTCTTGCTGCAAGTTCCATAAACATGCGAACTCTGTCTCCAAGAAATGCACGCTGAAATTTGGATTGGCAGTCCAAATCATGGAATTGATTCGGTTTGATTGACGGCAGCGAATCAATGCGCCTTACATTTATGACCAGTGGAGGACAGCATATTAAGACGCTATTAGCAGCCGTGCAGCTTACAATCATGTGTGATTTGTTTGTACATTAGGCCCTGGCTAAATGAGGAAAACATGTTTCCAAAACATGTTTTCTTAAATGTTTCCAAAGGTGGCAAAACTGTCAGGAAACATCGGGAAACATGTTTGCTCAACATCGGTTAGCGCATGCGCACTTTCAAGATAGAGCTAGCGTTGCTAAGTAAGGAACTTTTAGAACGTTGAATTTCGTGGCTAAACGAGGAAACATTCGGGAAACATTGTTTTCATGCGTCTTAGAAGCATGAAATGTTTCTGCCGCACAGCAGAAACATTTTTGCGTCTTGGAAGCAAAATTTGTTGCACGTAGCAATGTTTCGCATTTGGCTAAACTTGGAATCATCGAGGAACATGCGCGCGGGAAACATGTTTCTGAAAACTTGTTTCCTCGTTTAACCAGGGCCTTAGTATTATATTGTTAAAATTATAATGTAATAAGCTAATTTAATATAATCAACTTACATTATTTCATTTTTTCCTCTGCTTAAGCTAAGGGAATTGTCAAGGGTTCCAATTGTTTAAGATGGACATCGATGTTACTATAAACGAATTTGTTAAGATCTTCTGAACTTTCCGCGGAAGTTCAGAAGTTGGTTGGCTTATTCGCGGCAAATAAACTTGTTTTTCAACCGGGAGCTACTGGAATTAATATTCTTTTTGGATATTCATTCGGGAACTTCAAATTCTATATACTAAACCAAGTTCCAAACATTGGCAGGACGTTCTAAAGTTCATAACGAACTTCGTTTCGAAGTTCGAAAGTTGGTTGCCAACTTGGGATATTCCGAACATAGCTCGGAGCCTGAGGGTGTAAACTATAATGTGAAGCAGATTGTAAATGAGAAACAATATAGAATTGTTTTACGAAGTGGCAACTCATATTCTTCGTTTGCACGTTACGTCATTGCGGCCATGTTGGTACCATTTACCAAAAGATTTCTCAATAACATACATTGTTAACGGTACCACAATGACCGACATGTTTTTGTCTTTTACGACTATCTTGGGAATGCTTGCAACCCATCAATTATTGCTGGGATACCTGTGGTATCACAGTAATAAAATAAGCAACACAGTTAATATAAATACATAAATATAGGCTAAAAGACGATTTTGTTTAGTTCAAGAGAATAACGAGTCAATGCTGAATGAATATTTACGATCTCTTATCGTAATTCTGACTCTTCAAACCCTGTTCTCCTCATCGATCGATTATCGCTTGTTCGTGCAGAAAATCCTGTTTGAGTAGATGAATCATCATGAATAGATAAACCAAAACAAGCTTTTGCCTATGACGTTCATTGAACATTCTTAGAAATAATCGCTTCGAAATCTCGCTATCTTCTCGTCTTATCCTTGTTTACGAAATTGATAGATTAATATTTCTAGTTCGGCTGTCTTGAATTACGTCGGTCAACGAAATAGAGCTTGCGTAAACATAAACCTGTGCCACGTGATTTGCTAGCTACGCCCTCTCATAATCACTTGACAACATAGTGACATTGATTGACATCTGATGTATGATAATTGATTGGACTATAGACGGGAACCCTATAGCAGATACCCGCAAAGGTCTCTTGGGTAAGTTCCTGAAGACCCCTGGGTAACTGTTGCGCAACTTTGCCATTTTGTCGCGGAGGAAAACAAAAAATAAATAAAAAATAAAAACAAAAACAAAAACAAAAACAAAAACAAAAAAAAAATACAACAGAAAATCAAAGACATTTCATAGCCGGTGTACCACAGGTATCTCAGCAAAAAATGGTGATTCATTAAAAAATATCGATAAATTATAAGATTATAAAATGTAAAGYAATTATGAGAGTGGTCTTGAGCAAATATTAGACCTCATTTACGTTTTAAATGAAGCATTTTGATTTTAAAGCGAGCTATACAATGCCCGTGCAAATGTGCACGTTTATTCTCAAACAGCAACCTAACTACGTATGCCAAAATCCGGACCGGAACTACTTACAGCATCTAGTTACCAATGATATTGGTCTACGTCACGTAGCACTCAGTTCCCTAGACCACAGAGCGCTTACTACATAATTCTTGACGATCTATATACCTTTAAAAAAAACTAGGAAGAACCTATACTGCTCGTTTGGATACTTATTTCCTTGCTATATTGCTTGCTGCTGCAAAGACTTTCCCCAGAGGCATACGATTAACATCCCAGCTTAAAGAAAATGTCCAAGGTAAAGTACAATTTGTTAAGAGAGAAATATTTTCGTTTCAAGCCGTGASCGCCAAAACCTATTTTCTTGAAGAAAGGCTGTTGTACAAGGCTAAAATCTTGTTATTCAGAAAGTTTAACTTGTTTGGAAGTGGAGTCCACCGCGGATGAAAGTCTTAACCCAAAGCAAACATTTGAATCGAAAATGAGGTTTAGGCCTTCATTTTCTTATTTCCTATACGTTTTCTTTTTAAAAAAAGCCTGACAAAGCTCCATTCTAACACGAATGCAACAAAACATCTTTATACTATTGAAAATACCACTTCAAAAAGGTATTTTATCATAGTACATCAGTTTCTAACTGTTAAAAAAAGTTTTTGAGTGTTAACCCAAAACGAAATTTGGGATCAAAACTCATACGAAGGTCTAGCTTTTGGCGCTTTTTGTCATTATTGCTAGTTATTGAAAAACATTTCCTCTTAATTTCAATTATTCAAGTCCAAGAATTCCATGACTTTGTACAATTTCGAAGCAAAATTCGTGCATTTCCACTACCGCATAGTCCACAATTTGGAATTCTGACAACTTACTCATGACCAACAAAGTAAAAGGTAGTCTTTTCTAACGTTTCCCTTTGTTTATTGTTACATATTTTTATTATTTTTATCAGGCACGAGGGCTACTCGAACGTCTGGATGCTGGAGAGGTCGTTGTGGGAGATGGCGGGTTTCTGTTTTGCTTGGAAAAACGTGGTTATGTTAAAGCTGGACCGTGGACTCCTGAAGCAACAGTGGAGCATCCCGAAGCAGGTAGGTAAACGAAACTAGCATTCTTAATTTGTCATTCCTGCAGAGTAGCAATAAATAGTTTATGTATTGGATGTGAACRGCTTGCCTACTTTCATACGAAAATCAAACTTGTTTAACCTATTCCGCCCTTCAAAACAATAAATGGATATCACTTATTCATGTAGTCTACTCCTACTCAGACATTCTTCTTATGCTGTCACGCAACGTTTCGTTACAGACACTAAGAACAAATACGTAGAAGGCTATCAATGTAGCTAATTTGAAAATAGTTAATATGTTAATAGAGGGGACTGGTTGTGAAACCCGGCAAACTTCAGGACCGGCCTACTGTTTCGCGCTTGAGGTTGAACCGGACCATCACGTTATACCGACCGTGCATAATGAATCAAAGCAAGTGCTGAAAATACTGGTTTCCTTTATATACAGGTACAGTGGAACCCCGCCTTACGACCACCCGCTTAATACAGAAACCCCGTTATTGCGGTCAGCTCTTTTGGGTAGCGACGAAATGCCCATACATTTACTGTAAAACTGATGTACCCGCTTAATACGGCCACCCGTTAATACGGCCAACGGCCACTTTTTTGTGGCCCGACTGACAAACTTCCATATTTTTTTAACCCCGTATTACGGCCAGGACAAATAGGTTACAGTTTAGATCTTAATGTAAATACTGTAAATAAGTTATTGCTGCAAAATCTGTGATTCTTTTATTCATTCGGTTAACATTCTACAGTAATGCTTTTTGTAGAATCAGAATCAACACAACAATAACTTCAAACAGAGAAACACGTACAGCATGATGCGATAAAGTATGTCCGCATTTATTTTATAGCGGTACAGTATTAAAACGAGCCATGCCGATAGCCTGTCTGGGACGATATCCAGCCTCGAGTCAGTATGGCTTCAAAGGAAGCTTCATTCGTCTGCACAGAGCAAAGTCACTGCCTATTTTAAAAAAGTAGTTGCTACTGTACTCAGTTTTCTCTGTTCTACTGTTATATCTACAGTCCTGTACTACTGTATAATTTAAAGTTTTAAAGTACTACTAAAGTTGAGTTATAACTGAGAGCCAAGAGCATCAGAAGTTTTAGAAACATTATTTAAAAATACGATATGCATTATTGCACTTAATTTGTTTAGCAGTTTCGTACTGATAATTAAAACACGTTTTTAACATATTTTTGACAGCCTGCTTAAAACGGCCACCCCGTTAATACGGCCACTTTTGAATGTCCCTTCGGTGGCCGGATTAACGGGGTTCCACTGTATTTCAAAAAAGGTTGAACCTAATACCGAATATTTTATACTGAATAGTGCACTCCAAGACCAAAGGGTATTGCGGGTCTTGTTAATTTGAAATAAAAAGTAAATATACAGACGGAATACAATAAAAATAGATTAAATAATTATTATTAATTCTACTTTAGACAATGTCACTATGACCCACAATGCACGTTTATATTCAGTTCATTGAGTTCAAGAGAACAAGAGAAAGATTTATTATTGAAATAATATCAATAATTGGTCTTTGTAAATGTTTTTGAATTTTTTTAGCTTTTTAAAGTGAAAGACATGAAATAAAAAGAACACCTCCATCAAAGACATAAGAAAGCAGTCTAAAGGAACTTTATGTGCCATTTTCCAGTCTATTGTGCAATTACAATAATTGAAATGYTGAGTATGATTTTTGTTTGCCTAAGTTCGTCAGCTGCATCGAGAATTCTTACGAGCGGGTGCTGATGTCATGCAGACATTTACCTTCTACGCCAGCGAAGACAAGTTAAAGAACAGAGGAAATGATGCTATCAAGATCGGGGTCAGTGACTAGAACTTAAATTAACTTCTATTGGAAAAACAACTCAATATTTATAAAAAAACCTCCACATGATAACACTACCGCATTTACACAAACAAAATTTACATTCCCATTGCCATAGTTATTAACTATGATTTACATGTGTGCGCAGTACAGTAGAATACCGAAAAAAATATGCTCAAATAAAACTATGGAAGGAAAAGTAGCCCTACCCTGCGAGCAGAGTCTCCTCAACTCCTCTACGGGCGAGAGAAGGAAAGGAGACTCTGCAGAAATCGTGTACAATTCTATTTGAGCATGCGCAGCGGTTGCTAAGAAACTAACTCGTTCACAAGCTCACTCGTTTTATAAATGGTTTTCGGTTCCGGTCCGAACACTATTACCGCTTAAACATGTTTTTAGAGTCATGACCTCAGTGAAAGATGATCTCGTGTTCTTCTTTTACTGCTTCAATTTCATCAAGCTTAGCAGTTTGATGCACTATATTTTCACAAGCGGAAATTTGGTCGCTCATCAGTGCCTGGAGCGGAGTTATTGCCACCAAAAGAGGATTTTTAGGGTATCGACTAGTGTTTGGATAGATTTCTTGAAGATGTTTGGTCATCGGAGTTACARGCTGGAAAATAAGTGACTTTGCATGACCTGTCGGCAGCGAAACAAGCGGGTCTTTGGCATCCATAAAACTTTCTAGCGATTTCCTTTGATGAGTAATTGGTTGAAATTGATTTTTGTTTTGATAAAACGTGATATAAATCGCTTTCGAAATTACAGTTTGGGATACGATGCGGGCTCAATTTTGGTCATCGGCCATATTTTTTAATACAGACTCGCGCATCAAAACCAGTTTAAACCAGTATGAAACCTGAAATTATGCATCTCATTATCCAGATTCTTGGATAACGGCACTACAAAAGAAATACACGATTTCTGCAGAGTCTCCTTTCCTTCTCTCGCCCGTAGAGGAGTTGAGGAGACTCTGCTCGCAGGGTAAAGTAGCCCGTGAATATGCATGCGAACAGTAAATTAAAGACAAGAAATACCTTGGAGTTACAAATTGGCGATCGGAAGTTTAAATGTATAGTTAAACACAACCAGCTCTGTCTGATTTTTTCCCCCTTAGTGCGAAGCTATCAATCAAGCAGCATGTGACCTAGCTAGAGAGGTAGCAAATGAAGGAGGAGCTCTTGTAGCTGGCAATATTTGTCAGATACCATCACATCTTAGTGGCAGGGGAAAAGAGGCATGTCAGGCTGAGTACAAGAAGCAATTAGACGTGTTTGTCAAGAATGATGTGGATTTTGTCATTGGAGAGGTGAGATTTTATGGAATTTGGCAGCTTCTGGTTTCAATGATAGTGAAAGATATTTCCGTYAAAGCCTAAAATTATCAAAGCAAAGTGCCCCCTTAAATATGACTTTTTCAATTCAAATTTTTTCAGTTGTTTTCCGAAGTCGAGGAAGCAGAGTGGGCGACAGAAGTCATGAAAGCCACGGGGAAACCAGTTGTTTGTTGTCTAACGATCTCAGCCAGTGGTGACCTTAATGGTGTGTCTTTGAAAGACTGTACCCTACGTCTTGCTAAAGCTGGTTAGTATCTAGAATATTTGCATATTTAGGTAATGGCAGGAATGTTGAAAAAGAAAAGAAATCGTTTACTCTCGGAAATATATTTTTGCTCATCTGAAAAGATTGTATTGTTCCTGCCATCCAACATGGCTGCCGTCACGTGATCACCCAAAACCTTTATGTCAGTATATCGATATATTTCAAATCTATTAGGAATCTTGAAAGCAATTTTCAAACTAGTAGGTAAACTGTTACACACATTGATTGTTTCAGGTGCTGATGTCATCGGTGTCAATTGTCACTTTGACCCTGATGTTTGCATCGAGATAGTACGTCTGATGAAAGCAGCTTTGGACGAAGCCGGGATAAAGAAACATCTCATTATCCAGCCCATAGGCTTCAAAACGCCGGAGTATTTGGGCGGGAAWRWTAWATGTGACTTTACTGACTTTCCAGAATTCCCATTCGGTAATATAACTTTTAATATCGAGAGATAACATCATTGCAGTGAAACACCGCTGTTTTCCTTAATTACAGATTCATTTACGCAGGGTTCGTTCGATTTTGTTTAGAATATTTATGAGTTCTAGTGAAGGCCAATGGAATTTCAAAGTGTATTATTGCAGGCAGGCAGGTAGGCATGAAAAAAAMCAAACAAACAAAGAAACAAAACAAAAAACAAAAAAACGGAAAGCGGTGGATACATTTCTTTTGCACCATATTTATGCCTTAATTCGTTATACTTTCAGCTTTAGAATCTCGTATTCTAACGCGATGGGACTGTCATAGATACGCTCGTGAAGCATATGATCTTGGCGTTAGATACATTGGTG